CGTTTATTATAATTTTGTATATCTTAACAGGATAGATTCCATTTATTATAATTACATGACGTGTGCTGATGTTTTTTTCTAGACATTTTGGACATCCTGAACAAAATTTGGCTTTACTAACGAAAGAGAACTGCCATTTCGTTAAAATGGACATCGTTTATTTTTTGAACAAAATTGAAACCGAGTTTTTTGGTTGAAAACTTGTCAAAATTTGTTGTTCCTGAGGGTCTGGTGTTTGTAAAACACTGGATCCCCTCGCTGTACATGGACCTAGCTTGAGACCAGGTACGTCCAGGCAGTCCTTCGACGAAATGGTCGTTAGAGGTAGTTTGAGTTTTATGTCCTAGTAGCCATTAACGGCCAGCAGCAGCATCTGTATTACAGGACGTGTGCTGATGTTTTTTTGAGACATTTTGGACTGAATGTGGCCTTAGTTACGGTCATGTACATTCCAAAGGAGGTCTTAGTTGGAGTGTATTGTCCTAACAGCTGTTAACTCGCAGCAGAATCCGTTGGGGCTTGGCCTTCCGTTAGCTGGGCCTTGGGCCTATTATGAGCAAAGGGCTTGCATGGCAGCATGGGGCAGAAGGTTGCTTCGATATCTTTGGCGCAGTAGAAACCAGGGGCGAGGTCCCACTTGCAAAAAGGATTGGATTAACCGCCTGAATCTGGTCGTTTTTTACACAGAGATGCAGAACAGCAGATCTATCATGAGATTCTGCACTTTCTGCAAAAGCGTCCAGATTCAGACCTTTAATCCTATCCTGTTTGCTAGTGGGACCTTGTCCCAGGGGTCAGACAAAAGAGGCCCGTAGGCATATTGGTGGTTTACCGATTTGTTTTTTTTTTTTTTTTTTTTTGGCCCCATACAACACTTGTGAAAAAACGTCCCCCCTTCGATGACCACTTTAGTCCCAACACCTATTTTTTTGGTACCCGAAAGAGAAACAAGTGGTTTCTGCTAGGCTGGTACATTGAATGTGGGGGCTCCTTGTGCAGCCCCCTCCTTGTTCACAGGTGGGTGTTGTGGAGGGGAGGAGAGGGCTCGTTCAGATGTTCGGTTCTTTTATTGTGCGAGAGGCAGCGAGAGACTGAACCGGTACTCGCACACCAACTACATGCTTTTCAGTGCCAATGTATCCTTTGGGCCCACCTTTTCATCCCTGGCCTCGCACGCCGGAGTTGCAAAATAATCGATGATCGAGTCGATGATGTGGTGGCTGTGGTGGCTGCATCGGATGTGCATCTAGCTGTTAAATTGATCAGGCCGCCATGGGTTCGAACCCTAGTCAAATTGGGGCTTTGGTTTTCCTGACTCTTCCAACTTCTTTTTCTCTTTGGTTTTCTTCTCATTTGTGAAATTGTGTGGGTCTATGGTGTGGAAGAAAAGAATAGAACAGGGTATTTCAAATTGATGGTATTGACTGAGGCAGAGAAGGAGAAGAGGATCACAAAATGAGGGGCTGTGACAAACTGTTTTGTCCGAGTTTCACTGCCTCATCATATATATAGCCTCCTGATGAGTGGGTGAAACTCCGACGAAACAGTTTGTCACAGCCCCTCGTTTGTTGTCCTCTTCTCCCTCTCTGCCTACGGTTTACCGGGCAGTTCTATATATATATATAGAGACAGTCAAACAGAGCTGCCTACATTTAACCGTAGGCCCTTCATTGTTGTTGTTTTTTTGTTTGTGTTTTTTGTTTTCTACCATGTGTTTCACAAAGTTCACTCTTTTAGTTCATTGATATGTGATAATATTTTTATATATGATGTATAATATGTAGATACGTATATTGTTATATGCTGTGATGGTATAGTTTGTGTATACACTTGTTTAGATGAGAGAACGTAAATGTATGGACCATGCATTACTCTCCTGTCCTAATTTGAGACCCATAGGCACAGGAGCGATGCTGTCGATTCAATCATTTGTTGATGGTTTAAATTGTTGTTTCATCTTCGGAGTGTATGGTTCATGACTTAGTGTGATATCAGTGGAGTCATTGTTTGAAATCTGGATCACTCAGGATTTTGAGGGGGGTGGGGGGGACGGTCTGCCCCTGTCATATCCATCTTATACAAGCATTGGGCACTTGGCTCCGTTACACATCAAAAAAGTGGATTCATGAAAGCGAAAAGCAAATTATAAACGCGCTGGAAGAGGATGTCGGTCGAATGCTTGCATGGCGTCAGAAGCATGAGGTCGCCGAAAAGACTGCTGTCCCTTTGCTTGAAGGACAGCGTGTGCGACTGAACAGCCAACCATGTCCCTTTGCTTGGAGGAGGACAGCGTGTGCTACTAAACTGCCAACGATGTCCGACCTGCTGCGCGGCTGATACCTGCTATCTCCCCGCCTGGATGCGTACGTCTGCTTTCTTGCATAGCCCTGAAGCCCTTAGCTGAATTGCATCGTATTCCCCCCCGGCCCTCTTCGTCGAATTGGTGTGCTCTGAGCAAACGGTCCATGCGCAATGCACCTGTCGTGATGACGAAGTTTCACGACGAAGAAGTGCTGCCATGCAATGATGATGCTGTTTGCTGAGGTGGACGGCCGTCATGGCGGACGCAAGTGAGCACTGACTTGTGCTTCTAGCACGAGGCAACCTCCTGTTCAAGTACCAACCTGTTGGTGGGCCCAAGAGAGTACCAACCTGTCGGTGGGCCCAAGAGAGCAGACACAAATTCGACTGAGCCAGTGGAATGCTCCATAAGTGTGCATATTCCTGGTTTGGTAAGTGGGAGTGCGAGTATGGTTGTCGGTCGAAGGTATCTGGTCACACTGTGGGGATCTATTCTCGAATAATTTCGGAAATAGAAGTGTGAGTGCGCGATCGTTCTTTTCCGTAACAGTTTCTGCGGCTAAGAAGTATAGGGAGCACTGCCCCTCGCTTGTTGTTGGACTGCCACTGTTAGCGTAGTGGTTTGAAGGCAGCCTTGAGCCTGCTGCTATTGAAAATTAACTGCTGGTACTAAGCACTATAGTCAGGTGGGGAATTGGATGGGATGTGCGAAGTGGTTGGGTGGAGGGTGTTGCCCAAACCCCTTCCCCCTCTGCCCACCTCCTTCACCGCCTTTTGAGGCGGTGACCTAGCAGAGGTGCACGATCACGCTAGTCAGGTGGGGTTGGGATGTGCGAAGGGGTTGGGTGGAGGGTACTTGTAGAACCMCCCCCCCCCCCTTCTCTCCTCCCTTTCAACCCTCCTTGGCTGCCTTTTGAGGCTTGTGACCTTAGGCTAGCAGAAGTGCGTGATCATGAAGGGTGCAGGGGATAGCAGGGTACTGGCTGGACAGCAGGTTAGAAAGGGTTGGTGGCTTCGTCTATATGTGAGGACGCACTGATGATGTGGCTTCGTCTATATGTGAGGACACGCTGATGATGTGGCTTCGTCTATATGTGAGAGTGCGCTGATGATGCCAATCCGAGCAAGAGGACGGCGGCCCATTTGGCTGTGTGAGCGTTTGTGACGCTTCGGTGGGGCATCCTCTTCGAAGGTGTCAAGAGGTAAGTTGCAGGTGAGCTAATAATAGACTGGGGGATCTCTTCTGGTGTAGCAATGGTATCTATGGAGGGATATGTGGGTGTATGTATGATGGAGGATTGATCCCTTTTTCTCAGTGAATCCGGTCCACAATGCGGGTATATGCACCTAATGAAGTGCTGGCATATAATTTCAGGATGTTAGATTGGGTGGGCGGGCGGGCGGTGCTTTGGGTTCGTCCTTTTAGCATACTGACATTATTGCTTTTTTTTTTTTTTTTTTTTTTTTTTTTTTTTCGTTCGAAAATTAATTGGATTATTGCATATTGAAAGTATATGTGATGAGTTATATTTCGTTGGAATTGCTTTCTCCTGTTTGGATCATTCGAATTGCGTAATCAGTGCTTCAGACCTACTCTGTCTGTGAGTGCGCCACTCTACTCAACATTCGACATGCATTTCGACGGTTCCTGGACCAGGTGCATTTGGATGAGACCAACATTTTGAATGTGTGTGTGTATGTGTGTTGTGTGTTCGCGCTAAACTCAACTCCACAAAGAAAGGTGGCTGCTAGTGAAGGCGAAAGCGACCATCCGCTTGTGGAGGCTCGACCGTTTGTCAAGAAGATGAACGCATAACCTTTGTGCGTGCGGCCACTCTGACGCGGCAACCTTTTGCTATCATTGTTGCCACCGTTGCCTCATCTTGTTCTTGCTGACGCATGTCCAAGTTATAGAAGGCAGATCTCAAGGTGAAATTTTTTCTTCTTCTTCTTTATCTGTTGTCATTCCAGGGTTTTTATGCGTTGTAACTTGACGACTATCGGGTTTTGCGTTGACCAATTCAGTCAATCGGGTTTCGCATTGACTAACTCAGTCAGGGGAAAGGCAGAAGGTGAGCACTACTTTTCTAGTGTCTTTTTTCTCCTCCACTCTTCCTCTGTTGATATTCACCTGCTGGAAAAAAGAAAAAAGAAAAAACGTTTGAGCTCATCTCTGCCATCGGGCTCGAGTTGTGACCGTAAGGGGGGTCGGAGTTCAATCGCCTGTACGTGACCGGAGTGTGGTAGTGCGAGCTCGGGAAAAAAAAGATGTCGGGTGCGGTCGCAGCGTTGTTTGGGAGGAAGAAGGAAGAAGGGCCAGTGGTTGCCTTCTGGGATGCGCCTGAGAGGTGTGGATGGTTGATGAAGCAGGGGGAGTATATAAAGACGTGGCGACGGCGTTGGTTTGTTCTGAAAGATGGAAAGATCTTCTGGTTCAAGGAGGAGAGGATCACCCCATCGTCGAAACCGAGGGGCGTGATCTCCGTCAACAGCTGCCTGACAATCAAGGGTGCGGAGGAGACGATCAACAAGCCGCATGCTTTCGAGCTTTCCACGAGCGTGGAAACAATGTATTTTATTGCCGATTCGGAGAAGGAGAAAGAGGATTGGATCAACTCTGTTGGGCGGTCGATCGTTCGTCACTCGAAATCTGTCACGGAGAAGGAGGTGCTTGATTACGAGTGTGGAGGCAACTCGCAGGGAAGAAGCAGGGCTTGAGTGATGAAATCCCAGTTATAATGGGAGTGGAGACCTCGTTGACTCGTTCTCTCGCACACTAGTTGGTGATGCCAGATTTTTTTTTTTTTTTTTTTTTTTTTTTTTTTTTTTTTTTTTTTTTTTTTTCTGTTCAACTCATTGGCAGTTTTCGTAGGTTGTAGAATGGCATCTCAGGTGCCGGTCCCATGTGGCTGAATGGTACACACGCGGAAAAAGAACCAAAAACAAATTCACATGAATACTGGCAGCATGAAGAGTACACTGATGAGCCGTTCATAATAGACCGTGGTAAAGTCCTCTGGTACAATGATAATTGGAATAGAATAATGTTTGGGGAAAGGGTAGAGGCACAGTCGCACTATCAGGCTGGCAAAGACAGACCGCATCTCTGTCTGCTCCTTCGGGGGGCTGAGCAGATATGTGCGTATCACGACACGACACGACACGGCACGACACAACACGGCACGACACAACATGAAAGAATACCACACAGCATGAAACGACATGATACGATATGATACAGCAGGACACAATGCGACACAACAATGCGATACAAGGACAGAAAACTGCACAACACATGTCATGATGTCATGGCAGGATACTGCGTAAGAAGACAACGCGCAACATGGCATAGAATGACCGCTTGAGACTTGGATATTTTTCTGTTTTGCCATTTTTCCTTGGTTCCTCGTTCGGAAAGGATACCACATATGACCGTATTTTTCTTTTCGTGCCCCTTTTCCAGAAATGGTTTTATACATATCTGTTTCAAATTCTCCCAGAGATAATCTTGTCTGTAAATGAACGAAGGGTTTGTGGGGGAGCGATTGGAGGTCCCTTTCCGCAAACTCTCCCTACCGCTCTGCTGAACAGGCCCACAGCCACTGTCTAAGGACGGAGAAAGTGATTTGGTGGGAGGAGATTGCAGGTGACGTGTGACCAAGCCTCCCC